TATATATATATATATATATATATATATATATAGTTACTATAATATGAAATATTTTTCACACGAGTATTTTCTAAAATAACTTCTGCCTGTATTTTTTTAATGGTCAGAGTGTCAATTTTGGGCCCCCCTCTGTCTTGGTCCACCCTGTCGGTAGGCGTGCTTATGAAACACGACAACATATTTAACAGAAATTATAATGAGACCGGTTATAGATGACAGAGTTTACAACCAAGCTCCCTTCTTCAGAAAGTCGGCCAAATACCAGTTAAAGAAGCATTTTATACACACTGCCTGCCTCATCATCACATCAGTTCATCACAAACAGGTTTGTAAAATTAGGCATCTCTGGCTACAGCCTTATCAAAATAATACAGTGCTCATGATCGAGTAAACTCTGAATGCAAAGCGACAGAGCTCTCCGTAATCCAATCTGTCCATATGCTTCCATTTCATTTCAAAATACTGGCCTAATTAGATAACCTGTTTCAAAAACATGAGCCTTAACCTATAAAAGGCTGGTATTATTAGGGTTTAACAAGCACATACATGAATTAGAAAAATAATCCTAACACTATGAATCACCTTAAGGTTTCCTTAAGACCAGGTTCTGTACGGACCGTTCAAACATCAGAGAACCTACACTACGAGTCTGACACACACCTCAGAGTAAAACTGGACCCAGAAGACCCTGAACCCAACTTCAGGGAATAATTAATGAAGAAATAAAATGATGATGGATCCAGAAACCAAGTTAAATAAACAGTTTTTTTATCTCAGCTGAGTTTCACTGTAAATACGAAAACCCGCTGAGATTTTCCTCCCTACTGTTTGTCAATCAGCAGATGGAAAGATAAACATGTGTCGGTATGAGCAGGAATCGTTCCCCAAAGAACCAGATGGACCCACAGATTCAACATGTAGAACTCAGCAGAACCAGCAGAATGTGGATAAAAGCTGTGCGATTAACGCTAACAGAGACCAAGCACTGCTTCTGGGCGAAGGTCTGAAGATTGTCATCACAATAAACCTCTCAGATGGATCTTTATCAGAGAGACGTTTAATAAATTCCACGTTAAAATGTTCAATCAAGTAAGATTATTGGACATTAACCAGGCAGGAGGCTTCACTGCTCAACGAAGTAAATAAACCTGAACAGATTATTGTTTTTTTTTTACTCAACCTTCAGGTTTAAATTAACTTTTTATATGGGGTTTTATTTCATTTTCCAATTTTTTTTTTTTTATTGGCTGATTAAGTAAAATCTTACAATGTAGAGAAATATTTTTAGATGAAATAAAATGACAAAATTAATTCATAGATAATTTTTTTTTTTTATATAAAAAACACAACCTTTAGAAAAAAAATCTGAGAAAAATCAAAGTTCAGCTGCTGAGAAAAAGAAACATCCAGATTAGGACATTTACTAAAGCCTTATTGTCTGAAAATGCAGCGTATTTAAGATGGCAGCTGAGTTTATAAAGCATGATTTCAGCACTGAGGACTTTTAGGTTTTAACTAACTCTTACGTTCATCAAACCAGAAACAGACCTAAAACCAAAATGTCTATTTATTAGGGGAACAGTTTTAACCTTTTTGAGATCAGCTAAAGTTCAACAACATAAAATCATCTGCAATACTTTTCTATAATTTTCAAGACAAAATGAATTCAGTAATCTCTGATGTTGTTCCACCTCATTTTTAAAAACAACCTAAAAACTACAAACCTTTGAAGCAAAGTGTTGGAAATGTGCAAATAAAGTTTAAACAGTTTCTACTAATAATTACGGTTTAATTCAATTAAATTTTATTCACTTTACTTCTGAAGTGCACATTTAGAACACTTTTTATCTCAAGATGACATTTATTCAGATCATCCAGTCAGATTAAAGTTTTCTATGTAAGGAAAACTAGCATGCTGATGGTATCCAGTTATATTTATGAATAAATCCCTTTTATTCGACATTGGATTTTGGCCAAAATGTGGAATTTTTTGTTTAACTCAGTAATCTACTCAATAATCTACACATATCTACTTATTTAGATTATCTAAAATCTTTGGTAACACTAAACAAACATTTTTTACTCAGAAATCAGAGAAAGCATGATATTGGAAAATTGGATGAACTGATGAGCCTTTCCAACAGTTTCACTGTAGCTCAAACTAACAGAAGGAGAGAGTCGGATACAGACCTCTGAGGCTTTCAGACATCAGCAGCTCCATGAGGCCACAAAGATCTTCTGCTCATAGAAACATGTGAAGCTCAGAGCAGCACAGATGAAACCAGACAAAGTCTCTCAGAAACGACCATCGTCTGAACAGGATCTACCGACAAGCCAGAGCTCAATCCGACCCCAACGGTCGACCAGCAGCTTTTATTTTTGATAGAAGAAACTTTAATTAGGCCAAATAACATAAGAGCCTTTAGTAATAAACGTTCATTAAGCAGCAAAAGCAGGAAAACTCCCATGGGACTCATTTTGGTTCCTTCACGAAAAACAAGGAACATAATCACCCGTTGCCATGGTAACAGACATCCTGAATCCCCTGATTAAAACCTTTATCTGTAATTGCATCTTCTCAGGTGTCTGTGAGCAATATTTTTAATCCGTAGTTTAGAGGAGGTCAAAAAGATGTGAATTCACTTTGGAGTGAAAAATTTAACTTTAAGTTTTTAAATCTTAAAGGTCAGAGAGAAAGACACAACTCTTTACTCCTTTTTACTCATGAAGAAAAACTGAGAACTAACAATAAGAAGTAAAAAATAAAAAAATGTGTTTGATTCCTGCATCCGTTCAGACGTACAGTCAGACCCAGCAGAATCCCGATTAGGCCAAATTTTACTAACTAAATGAACGACATTGTAGAATTTCCTCCTAGTAAGCCAAAATGTTACATTTTTCTCTAATCCTTATTTTGTTCTGACTGGTTCTGAGTCACTTTGGGTGTATAGTGTCATTCTTTTATCTTTTGTTTCACAATTTCGGTCTTCAGTTTGTAATTGTGTGCATGCTCATATTTGAAAGTTACACCACCTTTAAGCAACTAGGAGTACAAGACCTGTAACTTCAGGGTATTGCTTCCACTATAGAGCACTGGCAGAACAGCACTGCCTCTCAATGAATCAGTC